TTTTTTGGAGAAAAGCACTTTAGCTTTTCCCCTGCAAAACAACTTATAAAGAGGGGAGGTGTTACATACAGCACTGATGGTACCTGTCTGTCATGGGTTTGGAGGGAAAGTTCCATCCTATGGGGAGTGGAAGGCGGGACATCAGGGAGGAGGGGCTGTACTGTATATATATTTGGAGCTTGTGTGGAGAAGTTTAGTTGGAGGAGTTGGAGTCTGTGTGTCAGACTGAGTACAACTGTGTGTCAGTTAGTACATACCTGATAGGTTCAGGTTTCTTTATAGGTAGCCAGAACTGATAGGTTCAGGGTCTGTGCTTTACTTTAAAGTGTTCTGTGTGAACCAAACTGTTGTATGTATGATTGAGACTAAGCCACGTTACAGTATCTTATTTACTTGATCTTTTTATTTACCCTGTTTGTTATTTAAATAAACCTTGTTCTTTTGTTTGTTAAAAATCCATTCCTGGTCTGTGTGACTCCTTATAGGGAATGGTTGGTGGCAGCTTAATTAAAGTGTGGCATACTCCGGTAGGTCTGGGGTTGTCACAGTGGTCCTTCAGGTATCCAGGGCCCAAGCCATTTTTGTCTTGTGCAGACTGGAAAAATGTTTTCTGACTCTGCAGAAAAAAAGAGTCCTGTCCCATGCAAGATCCGCTTCTGTCTCTTGCAGCCTAGAAAATGGCATCTTTGAGCGTTCCATTTCATGCAGGGGTTCCGTCCTTCTTTCTGCAAAGCCTATCAGATTTCACAGCAAGGCTTCATGCAATCATCCTTGAATGTTAGATATAGACTGTTTTCTGTCTCACCATAACAATCCTGTGGAGAAAGGCAGATCTGGGAATCAGGAAAGTTTCTCCGGGGACTCTTGGCATAGTGAGGCTGGGAATTCACCAAGAACCAGAATTTTAAATATATATATTTTTAAAAATCAAGCATTTGTTACATCTGTAGGTATGCTAGTTAAAATTACTCATACAGGAATCTGCTGTCAGGCAATGGGGAATAGCCACGAAATAAATTTCCATGTTGTATCAGACATTTGACTGCTGTTTCTTCTCACCCCACCCCACCCATGTCTCCCCCAGTTTACTTGTTGGTGGAATGTAAGCTTGCTTAAAGAAAAAAAATACAGTGAAACCTCTACTTACGAACGTCCCTACCTACGAACGATCCAATTTATGAACAGCTCCGGCTGCAAAATTTTGCTTCTACTTGTGGCCGGAGCTTCAAGATATGAACGAAAAGGGCAGGGGGAAAGGGCATGAAAGTCAAACTGTTGGTGGTGAAGAGGCTGCTTCTTTGTAGCTCTTTCCAATGATTAGGAAAAGGGAGGCTACCGCCGCCAGGATGCAAGCCGCCGGACCATCCCGGCTGGGCTCAGCCTCCCAGGCTTCCAGTGCCGCAGGCTTTCCTGGGGGTCGCCGCAAGCGTCGCCTTTCTTCCCCACTGTGCCGCTACTCCGCCGTCATGGGAGGCCTTCCTGGGGCTTGTCCCAATTGCCACCTTTCTCCGCCGCCATCCACTGCTGGGCCAAGGTTTCCGGTCCACCAACGCAGGCTTTCCCGCCAGCCCTACCAGGGGAAGCCCTCCCCTGGTAGGGCCAGTCTTCCAGCCCAGGAGAAAGGCGGCGCTTCCAGCAAACCCAGGAAAGCCGGCAGCGTAGAAGCCCTGGCCCAGCAGTGGCGGCTGGGGCCTGGGAGGCCTCCTGGCAGTGGTGGTTGCGGCGGTGAAGGTAAGGTGCTGCTTTTAAAAAACTGTTTTGGGTGGCTTTTGCAGGGTGGGATTGGGCTGGTGGGGTTATGCTTGTTTTTTATTTGTTTTGTTTTTTGCAGCCCCAGGGGCTTTCAGTGTTTTATTTTAATTTTATTTTTATTTTTGGTATTTTTTTTCTTCAGCCGGAATGTATTAATCGGTTTTCAATGCATGCCTATGGGAAATGGTGCTTCTACTTACGAACGTTTCAATTTACAGCCACCGTTCCAGAACGGATTAAGTTCGTAAGTAGAGGTACCACTGTACTGCATAAAATGTTTGCAGTTTTGAAGCCTGGTTCATTTACTTTGTAATGGAGACCTTAATATCAGTGCAGAGCGATCAGTGTGAAAAGCAGCACGAACTACTGGTAGATGATGCTTTAGTAATACATTTAAAAATGATTGAATAGCAAAATAGTTCAGTTTTCAGAGAAGTGGCCATGTTCTTCTATTTCAGCAGTAGCAGAAGAAGGACAAAAAAAGAAACTCAGAAAAGTATTGTGGCACTTTTGAGAGTAACAAATTTATTTCAGCATGAATAGTGTGAACTTTCCTAGATTATAGTTTACTTCTTCAACACGAGACTGTACTTACATTATTCTGGGTTAAGAAGCCTAAAACGGTAGCATAATGGCTTTATTGCAGAATTTTGGGCTCAGTGGTCTTCCAAACCTTTCCAGCCTGCTAAGCCTTAGGTTATGACTACATGGTCAAATATCATGGAATTTGTTCTGCTTATAAAATGATTGGATTCCAAGTATTTTTTTTTACTAATACTGTACAAATCAGTTCCATCCTTTTTGCTTCCTAAAGCAGCTTCTTTTGTCTGCTGTTGAGCAGCTTCTACTTCTTTCAAGCTGGAACAATTTGAATGGGTTTTTCCCATTTGGTTAGTTGTGATACATTTTTGTATAGATGGGTGCATGTCTGTAGGTGGTGTTTCAGTGATGAAGTCAGTTGGGACATGATGTTCAGGATCAGGAAAATGTCTCCCCTCCCATTTTTCCTCTCTCCCAAGTTGTCCTCTGAATTAGAAAATAAGTTCAAAAATATAATGTATGCCTGAGATTAGCACTAGATTGCCCTA